AGACTGTTTCAACCCCATCGCCGAGCCGACAAGTTGTTCCGACTTTGTCAAACTTCTGATTAACGGAGGGGGGTTACTTGTATTATTTCAAGCGGAAAGCAAATCGATCATTTACGCTAACTAGGCACTCCGATGGGATTTCCAGGATCGACGGGGATTTGACGGGATAACTAAGCAGACTTTCCCGGTGAATAATGTTTTCCGACTCGGATCAAAAACTTGAATCAAATAAGGTTCGTCGAGTGACTTGAGCACGCTTCTTTCCGCCGGGCATATTTATCTTGGAATGGACTTTCATGTTGATTTAACTTTTCATTTAGACATTACACGCTTGAAAACGACTCACTAAGGAATCATTACCTTCTTACTGACTTTTATTGACTTTTCTATCTAATAAAGCACTCTCAACGAATTATCTTTGACTATTTTTTTCGAATATACAATAAAAACAACTTTGCAATGTGCATATGATGTTTAAAACATTTTTTCGAAAATTTACTAACGATTATTATATTATATTGTTATTCGGAGATCGTGAGATACGGTCTGGTGTGAGCTAGGTTTTGTAGAAACAATTTCTTTATCAGGCCAACGTTTCGATCTTTACTGAGATCATCTTCAGGGCCTGGGATTTACTCACATTGTTTACATATTTACAATTACATGTGGGGCGGTGGATGGGAAAAAAAGAAACAAAACATCCAAAATGTAATTGCAATATGTAAACAATGTTTGTAAATCCCAGGCCCTGAAGATGATCTCAATAAAGATCGAAACGTTGGCACGATAAAGAAAATGTTTTTCTGAAATCTACATCACACCAGACCGCATCTCACGATTTCTAAATAAATATCGATTAACGGTCACTAATCACCACACATTTATACAATAATAGAAAATTTTAGATTGAAAAAACAAAAAACAATTATAGAATACTAGAAAATTGTAGATTAAAAAACAAATGAATTTACACAATGTTAGAAAATTTTAGATTAAAAAAATGAATTTATACAATAATAAAAAATTTTTGATTGAAAAAATAAAAAACAAGTGTACAATATTAGAAAATTTTAGATTAAAAAAACGAACGAATTTATACAGTTATTAAATTTTAGATAAAAAAATGAAGTTATACAATAATAGAAAATTTTAGATTGAAAAATACAAAAATACTATAAAATTTTTGATTGAAAAAATAAAAACAATTATGCAATACTAGAAAATTTTATATAAAAAAACGAATGAATTTATACGTTAGAAAATTTAAAAAAAAAATTTATACAATAAGAAAATTTTTGATTGAAAAAATAAAAAATAAGTGTGCAATACTAGAAAATTTTAGATTAAAAAAACGAACGAATTTATACAGTTAGAAAATTTTAGATTAAAAAAAATGAAGTTATACAATAATAGAAAGTTTTAGATTGAAAAAATACAATCACACAATACTAGAAAAGTTTTGATTGAAAAAATAAAAACAATTATGCAATACTAGAAAATTTTATATTAAAAAACGAATGAATTTATACGTTAGAAAATTTTAAATTAAAAAAATAAATTTATACAATAATAGAAAATTTTTGATTGAAAAAAAAACAATTATACAATACTAGAAAATTTTAGATTAAAAAGCGAATGAATATATACAGTTAGAAAATTCTAGATTAAAAAAATGAATTTATACAATAACAGAAAATTTTAGATTGAAAAAATAAAAAACAATTGTACAATTCAACCAAATTTTAGATTATGAAAACGAATGAATTGATACGCTAGAAAATGTTAGATTAAAAAATGAATTTACACAATAATAGAAAATTTTAGATTTAATCACTGTATTAATTTACACAAACACTTTGAGTGAGTACGAATATTATTATTGAATCTAAAAATTTTTAGCATTGTATAAATTATTTTTTTATTGTAAAAATTTTTAACTATAAATTCATTATTTTTTTAATCTAAAATTTTCTAGCATTGCAAAATTTAATCATTGATAATCTTACAAAAGAATTACTGGAAGACAACAGCAACCGAACCAGGATTCTGGTTGGACTCCTGACAAGGCACTGCCGCTTATAAAGCACCTGCACCGGACAGGTGTACAGAAAGAATAAACTTTGCATATACTGTCAAAAAGAGGAGACCACACATTCTGTTTCTGTGAAGGCAGCCACAGGTGAGAAAATTTATAGTGAACGAAGGGAAATTGCTAGCGGTAAAAAACTGCTTGATTAGGGGGCAGCAGAAACCTCTTTTATGCCATTAGTTGATGACGGTATCCAAGATCGTTTATCGGGGGAAGATGCAGGCGAGAAACTTTTTTCAATCAAAATGCGTTTATTCATAATCAAACCAATGGTTCAGTAAATGTTCCCCTGGCTAATATACGGTAGGTGCAGGTTCTTGCAACTAGGACTGGAAAAAACATTCAGGAGTCGCTAGCAACGCTATCGGAGCTGATTGACAAACTGAAGCTGGCCAGTAGTTATAAAAAAACTCTTCTATCTCTTACCCTATCCTCTAGAAAACAAAGGAAACATAAAAACAATCTGTCCAAACTGCACTTCACAATCGATGCTGGACAATTACTTCAAAATACATTTCTTATAAATGCTAAACGTTTTATTTGACGAAACCCCGCTAACGAGTACGACGGTTAATCTTTTGCTAACAATACGGACATACTTGTGTATTTTTTTTTGTTAAATAACAGATTAAAAACGCTGACTAAGAAAGTGTTTCCGGTGAGATTTCGGAGATTAAATGCCGTACTTGGACAAATTCTCTTTATAATCCGAAAATGGCCGTCAGAAAGGCCGGCTTAAGAATATTTAGTTACGGTCCATTAAATGATCTCTTGAGAATTGTACGCTGCATAAAAATGAGCCGTATTTCCATGAATATCTGTCTGACGAGGGGTAAATTTAAAGTACATTTGTTTCACTCTTTCTACTTGTAATTATTAATAATAAATTATCACGGTTTATCAAAATAGTGAATGATTCAATAAAACAAAATTCAAAGAAAAAAATTATTCTATTATATTTCCGGTCCGATTGTCCAAATAAGTTCTTTCATTTAATAAATCTTTTTATGTAAGGTATTCGTTGAAATGAAAAAGTTAGTGTCACCAGGGGGATTCGAACCCACGATCTTCGGCTAGATTCGCCGCTGCTCTACCACTTGAGCTATCGTAAGTTCGATCCACTCGGACACCAACTTCTCACTTCAACCCACCATTCGAATTTTTCCTCCTTTTTGCCATTTTTCATTTTGGCGTCCGACTGGATCGAAGTCTCCACAGCTCAAGTGGTTAGAGCAGCGGCGCATTGAGCCGCAGGTCGTGGGTTCGAATCCCGCTAGTGACACTGACATTTTCATTTCAATCAATAACTTACATAAAAAGATTAATTAATTAAAAAATTTATTTTCGTTCGCATTAATTACCGTAGGTCACAGATAGAGTAGGTGGTAGTCACGGAACTCAAAGTCAAACAAAAACCAAAATATTTTCTTTATTTCCATAAATGATTTAGGCTTTTCAACATCTAATGTTGTTTTCTTGGATTTTTGGCAAATACTGGAACTATTTTTTTTATTAATAAAATTAACTTTATTCTTTGGAAGAAGCAAGTGTAAGAAATAACAACCGTTTTATCAGTGTAAATAGTACATTTTCGTATTATAGATATTTTTTAACTGGTTTTGAATTTCTTAGGGAAGATTTTGCAAAAAATTTAGTTGGTTTATAATAAATTAAGCAACTGTTTAGATAGATACAACTATTATGCAAAACACTGACTAAATTTAACAAGAAACCAATATTCTTTCATTGAAATTTTGGCGAAATAGAAATAATGTCACAACAATAAGTAAATTATCATAAATTCCATCTATTGGAAGAAATAAAATTCTAAAACATTGTTAGTTACAAATAATATCAAAACTGTCAATATATTTTTAGTTGTATGGCACTTTAAATTTTTTTTTCTGGATAGATGCAATCGTGTCGCCCGGAATGTCCGTGATATATCTCGATAAAAAATAGAAGCTTGAACACTAAAGGCTTATTATTTATTAATGTACTCGAATATAGTGCGAAAGATAAAAAAGAATTATTTTTATCATTAAGGGCTTAAAAAAATGCTGAAGCATCTTTATTGGCAATTTATCGTAATAATTCATAGATACCTCGTTTATATATTTTATTTTAAAATAACTGCTCCAAAACTGAACACACATCTATGATCAAACATGAATATTTAGAAGTCACACATCAGTCAGATTTCTTGTATCAATCTTCTTAAAATTTGGTCAAAATATCCACTAAATCTTTATAAAACTAAGGAAATATCAAAGGTCTAAAAAAACATTTGAAAAGTATCTTTTTTTTATTTATCCAAATTGAAGCCTCGGTTGAGTCCAGAGTTCCGAGTTAGCGACTTTGGCCTGTTGCTACTTCAAATTGATTCCCTGTATCAATCTTCATAAAATTTGGTCAAAATATCGAAAAACACTTTATGAAACTAAGGAAATATCAAAAGTCTAAAAAAACATTTGAAAAATATCTTTTTTTTCGATTTATCCAAATTGAAGCCTCGGTTGAGTCGAGAGTTGCGAGTTAGCGACTTTGGCCTGTTGCTACTTCAAATTGATTTCGTGTGATTTTCGGATTAAGAAACCGTTTTACAAAATGGTAGAAAAATAATGAAATTTTGAAATAGCTTCAGTAGGATATAAAGAAAATAAATAAGACATTGAAAATACAATTCCTAAGAGAAAACGGCCTTTTCTGGAGTTTATATTTCATTGCCTGCTCCTCGTCTAGTCTTTGACACAGTCAGACAAAGGCTTTTCAATAATTAACTTCGGTGGCTCCGGTCACGCTCAGTGAAAGCTTTTTGATTATTCCGTCTTTTCAAGAAAGCTTTCTTTATAGATTTTTTCCATCTGAATAATTTGTTGGGAAAAAAAGGTAACATTTTAGCGTCACTCACTTAAAGACGAGGATTATCACTGGCCCCGTTGAGTTGACTCCGTGTATAGAACCATCACACCTGAAACAAATCAATCCAGTTTTAATAATATCCTTATTTTGAGGATTTAAAAAAATTACTAAACACGTTCATAGAACTTTAAATTATGCAAAAACAGTTTTTTTCAATATAATTTTAACTTTTTTCTTTTCAAATTTGAATTGATGCAATAATTTATTCAAAATGACGAAAAGCTTGATGTGTTTGTATAAATTTACTGTTATACTGAGCCATTTTTTGACGATGTGAATATAAACCATTTACATCGGCAGAAAATACAGAAACCACACAGCACAAAGTGACCAAAGTAAAATTATCATAACCTTGAACCTACTGAATGTGATATTTAAAATTTTACATATTTATCTTGAAAATATGGTTTTACGTTATTATTCAATTCCATTATGTTTAGTTGTCTATTGACCAAATAACATCTTTCGAGTAATTATTCTTTTTATGTAAGATCTTTGTTGAAATGAAAAAGCTAGTGTCACGAGCGGGATTCGAACCCACGACCTTCGGCTCAATACGCCGCTGCTAAACCACTTGAGCTATCGACACTTCTTTCCTCTCGGACACCAACTCGCCATCTCAACCTACCTTTCGAACTTTGAAATATGGCAAACACGATGGAAAATTACATAGTCTTGGTACATAGTCTTAAATCCTTAAATAAAAAATAACAAACTTATTTATCAAAAAAATCTTGAGCTTGATTAGATTTCGATTTGCAAACCCAATCTATTAAAATGAGTGATCCCAGGTCAGTTTAATCCCCTCGTAAAAGTGGTATATTTATTTTTTCCAATTTAAATATTTAATAATATGAATAGTACATCTTACTAAAAGAAAAAAAAAATTTTATTATTATTTTTGAAAAATATAGAAAAATCCGTGAGAAAAATCTACGGCTGAAAATATGGAGTAATGAACGGCGCTTCGCTATGTTAAACCTTCACGACCGATCCGTCATGCGGGTTTTAATCTATTCAAGCGCCTTGCTAACAAGAAACTTTGCACTTTCGGAGCCAAACCAAACCAGTCTAGATGACGATAGAAATTATTATTTCTTCACCTACACCTAAAAAATATCCATATTGTAAAAAAGTTTGTTAGTCATGTTTAACTTTCATTTTTAATGTGTGGTGATTGGTGACTGTTAATCGATATTTATTTAGAAATCAAAACAAACATTGTTTACATATTACAATTACATTTTAGATGTGGACATGTTTGTAAATCCCAGGCCCTGAAGATGATCTCAATAAAGATCGAAACGTAGGCACGATAAAGAAAATGTTTTTCTGAAACCTACATCACACCAGACCGCATCTCACGATTTCTAAATAAATTTCATTTTTAACTATTTAACCTGAATTTGACTTTAAAATCAATTAACAAAAAACAAGTCAGTTACAAATTGGTTTCGTTGTTAAAAGATACTTACATGGGGAAGCTACTGACGTGGTATCATCGATTTCAATGTAATTTTTTGGTGGAACTAAGGCAAAAATTACTAGACAGGTTTCTTCCAATGGGCCTTGGTAGCCGAGAACCAAATATATATAAATAATTTAATTTTTTTAAAACATATTTTCAATTTTTCATTTGGATATGTTTCAGTATCATTACAGGTATTCGCCTTTAAGAAAACAATGTTTATAATAATAAAAAAAGTTACCAATAAGAAAAAGTGACCAAATCCCTTTCTGAAAACCATTCAATTTCCTCTTTGGCCATTCATTATTTAAGTACATTTATTTATAATTATTGAATGTAAAAAAGCGTATGTTGTGTATAAGTGTATAGGTATACGTGTGTGTGTGTGTTTTTTTTCTAAAAGGAATATAAAAATCACCTGAGGATGATAGGCCACTTTTAAAGAAGGTTGGCGTAAATAGGGTCCTGCCTATTGACCCGAGATGGTTAGGTCGGATACGGTTAAATTAAGGATAACGAGCTGGGTCAGACTAATTTCCCTAGGTACAATATCGCTGCAATCGGAGAAAATTCGAAACTTTTCTCCCTAACTAGGTAATTCGTATTAAGTTCAGGATCATATTTGTTAGTTGTCGTAGGGAACGATTTTTTTCAATTAGACAGAGAATCTCACTACGCAATTCAACTTCACGAGCACAAAAGAAAAAAGAAGAAAAACCTCTATATAAACAATAGTCCTATTTTCAATCCTTGAGCAGGTATTTAACTATTTATGCTTTTTTTCAACAACCTTCGGTTTTCGTCACATAAATCAACTCTAAGATCACGAACAATTGATTTTTGTGGAAATATAAAAAAAATTACATTTTCTTTAAGAAGACACGCTTCTAGAACTTTAAATTAATTTTGCCTAACTAAACAGGCACTAAATCATTCAAAAACAGCTGGATGTAAAATGTGAAAAAAACTAAATTTGCAAACTCATTGTAAAATTCAGCGTAGAGCTTGGCAAATTTCATAGCAACTTTTTCGCATAATAAGCTTTATTGCGATACACCATTTTCTTTAATCACGTCCGACCAAAATGCTGAAATCATATGTTAAATGGAAAAAAGTGGTGAAGATGTAAAAAATGAGGAGTGGAGTTAATTTAGTAATTCAATTTTTTCTCGTGGGCAAAATTTGTTTTCCAACTTTAACTTAATATTGTAAAAAGCGCAATGAGAAATGAAATTGAAATAACAAAGCATCTATAAACATAGAGAACAACCAAAGCAGAAAAATTAGAAATAAATAACTACACTAAACACATACAAAAGGAAAAAAAGAACAATACAAAAGTTGTAAAACCAAACCCTTACATAATAAAAAGAACGAAAAAAAACTCCTTTTTTGTATGTGCGTTTTTTTCAGTTAGCGTTAGAATAACTTTTGTATTGTTATCCCTTTTTTTCTTTTGTCTGTATGTAGTGTAGATATTTTGTCCAACTTTTCGTCTTTGGTTGTTCTCTATGTTTATAGACTCTTCGTTATTATTGTTATTGTCTCTCTTTTATGTTTTTTCGGTTTTCTTTCTTTTTGTGCTTTTTATTATGTCAAAGTTTGGAAAGGAATTTTGCCCAAAACAATAGAAAAAAAGCATTGAAAAATCGTTACATTTCCTTTAAGAAGCACGCTTCTAAAACTTTCAATTTAATTAATCTTTTGTATTTTTTATTTAAGTTAAGATTGGTTTTACAACTTCTGTTTTGTTGTTCTTTTTGTTGTTTTCTGTGCTTAGAATATGTTTTGTCCTTGTAACTAAATTAAAGGGTGAACCGCTAAAAGGCTTATTGAACGAAAATGTTTTTATGAACTTTGCCAAGCTGTACAAAATAAAAGCACAAAAGAGACTTTCAATCAAACAAAGCTCGTAAAAAGTGATAGTAAAGTAATGAACAACAATTAAGTTGAATTGGTGTTTCTTTTTGTGCTTTTTAATTAAGTTAGACTTAGGTTGTACAAGTTTTGTTTTGTGCTCCTTTTTTTTCTTTTTTCAGTGTTTAGTGTAGATATTTTGTCCAATTTTTCGGCTTCGAATGTTTGCTAGGTTTATTGTCGCTATTTTATATGTTTTTTCTTTCTCTTTCTGCTTATTATTATATCAAAGTTGGCAAACGAATTTTGCCCAGAACAATAGAAAAAAAACATTGAAAAATCATTACATTTCCTTCAAGAAGACACGATTCTCAACATTTGAATTGAATTTTTGGTAACTAAAGGAACCCGAAATCTTTCCAAAACTGCTAAATTTAAATTTTGAAATAACTAAATTTGTATATCATTGGAATAATTCAGTGTCGAGTTTGACAAATTACATAACAATTTCTTCGTTTAATAAGCTTTCTAGCGGCACACCCTTTTCTTTAGTTACATCGTAATAAAACGTAAAAATTTGATGCTAAATAGGAAAAACGTAGTGTCTTATAAGAAGGCAGAGCAGAATTAATATAGTAAAGAAAAAACAAAGAAAAATTAAACGTAATTTTGTTGTACACTAGTTTTCTCTTTCATTTTAAGGTTTTTACTTTTTTTTCGGTCTGAGTTACGTATTATAACTTTGTATTGTTGTTCTTTTGTCTTCTATCTGTGTTAAGTGTAAATATTTTGTGCAATTGTTCTGCTTCGGTTGTTCGCTAGGTTTATTGTCGCTCTTTTATATGTTTTGTTTCGTTTTACTTTTTTTTGTTCTATTTTTACTTTAAAGTTTAGATAGGAATTTTGCCCAGAACAATAAAAAAAGCATTGAAAAATCGTAACATTTTCTTTAAGAAGACACGATTCTAAAACTTTGAATTTAATTTTTGGTACCTAAACGAACTCTAAATCTTTCAAAAAACTGCTAAATTTAAATTTTGAAATAACTAAATTTGTATATCATTGGAATAACTAAGTGTAGAGTTTGGCAAATTACAAAAGAATTTCTTCGTTTAATAAGCTTTCTACTGGTACACTCTTTTCTTTAGTTACATCGGAAGAAAATGTATAAATTTGATGCTAAATAAGAAAACCGTGGTGTCTGTGAAAAGAAGGCATAGCAGAATTAATATAGTAATACAACATTTTGTTCTGTGTAAAATGTTTCCCAAATTTAACGCATAAAAAGAAAAAAAATATTTGTTGGATTTTGGAGCATAAGTGTGATAAGATAAAAAGGTGGACAGAAGAGGTAGAGGGTAGACTAGTGGGACGGAAAGGAATTAAGTTATTTGATCTTAGTATGTATCAGGATGGGGAGTAAAAACAATGGAAAGGTGGTCTGAAAGGAGGTGATTCTTTTCTGTGTATGATCTGGCCCGTTCGGACATTGGGGAAAGTATTTGGTAGTGTTTGGTAACATAAATAGCTACCCAAAAGGTCTTGTATGGATAAGAATTCGAGGTACCTCTAGGATAGTTTGAATTTCAAGTGCTAAGTAAGATAGTTAAATGTTATTTTATCAAAGCTGTAACGATGGGGTTGCCATCGCAACATTGCACTTCGTTTAGATAAAAGTAAACTTAACAACTTCGGCCAATATTAGTTTAAGAATTTAAACCTTGCGA